TGGATTTAAGCATTTAGCTATCATTTAACTACTACAATATCTAAACTTTTTGTTGTTGTGAGGACGGATGAATCCATCTCCAATAAAGAATAATTCATAACAAAAATTCAAAGATTTAAAGAATAAAAAAAATAAAAAATTACCTATAGATTTGCAGGGTGAAAATTGAAGAAAATCTGACAATCGCGTATTGCGTTTCTGGTTTACAGGTTTGGAATTTGGATGGTTTGAGTACAAAACTTAGCAATCATTATTGTGTGGACCATAGTCCACACAAGTTGTGTCGACAATATTTTGTATGTTATAAAATAACATTTAGTACAAAAATAATGTATTTTTAGTATATTAATAATGTACATTGTATTTAGGGAAAGTACATTATTTTATATAATGTACATTTAATACACAAATAATGTACATTTAGTATATTAAAAATGTACTTTTTGTTATGGTCCAACAACATTGTGTGAACCATGGTCCACACAATAATTTGTCAAAACCTAGCCTAGAAATTTTCTTGAAGGATGGAAAATTATATATATTGGTGAGGAGACCACAAAATAACCATTATAATATTAATAAAAAAAAATTGTGGAGAGGGCCCAAGCCGCCATTGGAAACAGGTAATTCTAATTCTAAACTGCTACTCTATACTAATTCTAAACTGATTTTTTTTTTTTGGGGGGGGGGGGGAGTGGGGGGCAAGGCCCCTGCTCATATAAGGTGGCTCCGCCACTACACATATATATAGTATCAAGATAAGTAATACAATCCTAACCTAAGCCCCAAAACTAATTACTCACACATATTACGCATAAACAAAGCAAAATCACTAACATGAATATTGCAAAGGAAAGAGATAAACAAAAAAAAAAAAGGAAAATGAAACTTATCAATTGAAATGGATGGTAAAGTCTTAAAATCCAAGCATGAATCCTTCATTACAAACTTTCCGTATGATAAAGAACTTAAATCTAAATCTAATCTAACCCTAAAATACGAAAGGAAATGAAGAAAATCGACTAGGGTTCGAATAGGGGTTGGAACCCAGTAGAAATGACTCAAATCGCGCTTAAAATACAAAACATGGGTAAGCCCACGGGATGGGATAGGAGCATGTACCAGCCTATGTGTAGAACAGTAAAAAAAAAAATCACTTTGGAGAGTAGTGGTGCACAAACCCCTTCACGGGCGTGTACTCTCCTGTGCATCCTCAACAGAATCACTTCTTTGCTGTTTTTGAGCATTTTAAGGTCAGAATTGGGCTTGAAAGTCTTCATAAGAGTTGTATCCCTTTGAGTTGTCTTTCCAATAGTACAAGAATTACTTGATTTGGGCATTCCTATGATGAGATATGGTCAAAATACTGAACAGTGGACGAGCTGTGCGAGAATTTCAACTTCTTGCTATTTTGCTCTACTTTTATCTTGATTTGTCCATGTGACCAAAACCATTGAATACACCACTCCTAAGTTTCTCCTTAACTCCCATTCAACTCATCTCAATAATAAAAAAATTACACTTAAACATACAAATGAATCGAATGAAGCATATACTTTGGACAAAATTGTTACAAATGGTCTTCAAAATCAAATAAGTTTAAATTCAGGATAAAACAATGAAAAATTAGGTACTTATCAAGGGCATCATATTTTTTGCTTTGTCTACAATTTCGATATATAGCACATATTTTCTTTCCCCTGTTGAGTTTTCTTGTCCATGGTCCTGCGTGACTAATTCTTTGAACTTGGTCATATTTACATGAGCTCCAAATTCATTTGTACTATGAGATTGAATTATTTTTTTAAATGTTATGATTCGAGCATATTTGAGTAATTGATATTTCCTTATGTTTTTATTTTATCTTATTGTTGCATTTAATTATTAGGAGGCTTACTAGTTAATTTTTTGGCACAATTTATTGTTAGATTAGTTGATGATTTGTATAATTGGGTTTCTAATACGAGTAGCAATCACGATTTATTAATATGGGGTTAGTATTAATCAGAATTTATTAATATGACGTTAGTATTAATTTGGTCCTAGAAGGAATATGAGTCTGAATTAAACATAAATACATGTGTTTATGTTATTCAGTTTTGTTGATTTTTCTTGCTTTGATATATGCTACTATCAAGCTAAACTCAATCGTGTAGCTTTTATTATTTGATAGTTAGGGACAATTAATACTGCTTGTGTTTAGTTGCCTACAATAAGGAAAAATTAGATTACTTCCACAACAAATGCTCAATTGTTGTTAATTAATCTTGAATCCATAATCAACTACTAAATTTCAATGATGAATGTTTTCTTAGGCCAAGTGTTATCAATTTATTTGATTTCAATAGTTTAATTCAATTTTTGATTTTGTTATATATTATGATTGATACTTTAAGGAATTTCATACAAATCGCATGTGTCCTTCCCTTGTCTCTTAGCACATCAAGTAATCTAGTTACTTCTCGTGAGAACAATCCTTACACCCATACTACTGCATTTGTAAGATTTAATTTGGGTGCATATGACAACTCGTCATAAGGTGATTATCCCTTCAAGATCTCTAGTGATACTTTCATGTTGGTCCTCTATGAATGTTAGAGCATCTTTATCTGTGAAAAATATTTGGGAGGGAATGGCAGAGATTATTCTGACAAATTGGATAGAGAGTGTACGAGAGAGAAGGATTGGGTTCAACTGCAAGGGGTGGGTGCTTGAAACAGTAGAATGGAAAGAAAAGCTGAGAAAGAATATTGAATGTTGTGCGCGTTTGGCGCACAGCAACGCTACAGCCGGGCGTGTGCATAGGCGGCCTGACATGTACTTTAAACATTTTTTTTTTAAATTTAGTTTTGCTTTTTTTTTTTTTTTTTTTTTTTCTCTTTCCTCCCACATTCTCTTTTCTAATCACATTTACATAAACAACCCCTCAAAAACCGCTACTGAGATCAACTAATGTGGATGCTCTTACACTTGTTGCCATAGTAGGTAGAAAAGTATAGACATGGGACCATTCAGATATAGCCTTTTTGTGGAAGAGGTGACTAGCTAGGAACTAGGGGATGAGTTTCCACTACTAGCAATATCCAATGGAAAAGTTGGACTCACGTTGTTAGTAATTCCTTTCGAAGGGGATAAACCTCCACTAGAGATAACATTATCCCCCCGTGATAGCAAGAATCATTATCAAGCTTTTGAATCGCTATTTGTACAATGGACTAAGATATCTCACTGGACAACCACTCAATCGTTATGCCATGGAACATGGTGAACACAGTTCCAACGGTGTTAGTACACCGTTTTTTTTTTTCTTAATTAATTGCGTGACTTTTCTTCTTCATTTTCACATTTCGCGGTTTCACTTTAATTACTTTAATTTGAGGTGAGCAATGATTTCGGATATTCATAAATTATGAATTCATGCCTGCACATTCACTTTGGAACCATGCCTACACATTCCCGTCCGAAATCACGGACATTCATAAATTATGAGTTCATGCCTGCACATTCACTTTGGAACCATGAGATTATGAATTTTCTGTTATAAGATTATGAATTTTCAGTTATGAGATTATGAATTTTCTATTATGAGATTATGAATTTTCTGTTATGAAATTATGAATTTTCTGTTATGAGATTATGAATCTACATTACATTCATAATCTCATAACAGAAAATTCATAATCTTATAACAGAAAATTCATAATTTAATAAATATTTTACTTTTATGCGATTATGAATTTTCTGTTATGAGATTATGAATTTACATTACATTCATAATCTCATAACAGAAAATTCATAATTTGATCAAACGCGCGCCGCGTTAACTCCACATCCGCGATTTTTTTTTTTTTTTTATTTGCGTAAAAATGACGTCGTTTGGACTTGTATTCATCATTCACGGTGAACACGTTTCCAGGACATAATTTGCGGACACCCACTCCCCTAGGCTTTTTTGCATAGCTCATAGTACATGGGCTTTGCATCTCTTGGTTCGCCTCAAAACTGGCTACATATGTGGATTTTGGGTTAGCAGCTTAGGCATAAATCAACTTGAACATTGGGTTGTTGGATGACATATTAGGAGTATATGTGATAGTGAAGAGATGTGAGATCGGATATGTCAAAATTTATAAACACAAAACTTGAAATTTATATATTCAAATTCAAAGTATCATATTACAATAAAAATCATTATTATTCTGGTCGTGGACTCCGTTCAGGTCTGATCAGGTCAGGAAAAGACCTTCACTACCTATAAAGTTGGACCCAAGCAGGTGTTCAATACATACAGGTCAGGAAAATACCTTCACTGCCTATAAAGTTGGACCCAAGCAGGTGTTCAATACATACAGATCAGGAAAATACCTTCACTGCCAATAAAGTTGGATCCAAGCAGGTGTTCAATACATACAGGTTAGTATATTCCCTATCACTGGTGTTAAAATTCCATACATAACCCATCCAAAATCCAAATTAACATGATAATTTATTATAAATATAATAATAAAATATATATTTAGTTATTAAAAATATTTGTAATAATATTATATAATTTTTTAAAGCTCTCTTAGTTAATTAGTTAGCGTTTTGTGCAGTTTTTAGTTTGTGCTATTGATACGGAACACGAAACATAATGGTAAGTCAAGAATTGACAGGGAGAACTTACCATTATGTTAATGTGGTGTTAATTGTTTCAAAGCACAAAGCTAAGGTCTCTAAGGCACATCAGAAAGCAACGCTACAACATAAGACGAAATGCAAGTCAAGATTGCTAAGGATACAAATTTGTAGTCACAAAGTTACGAGTTCAAATCTCAACTTTCTTAGTTTGAACAAACTGGTTTACCTTCTTATAGTCTTTTACGGGATAGGGTCACAAGGCAGAGTTTACAAACAGAACAACAGAAAAGGCAGAGTTTACAAACAGAACAACAGAATTTAATTAAACTCGATGAATTTGGTACTTTGACATGGCAGACATGTACACCTCGGCGGCCGGCTTATCTTCCCGAGGCACGACGCCATAGTTGTCTGCCACGGCCTTGGCCAGATGCCACAGAACCCCTCCCACGACCACTCGAGCCCTGAGGTGTTGGCAGAAGACCACCACGTCCCGGTTGAGGTGTTGGAAGAAGACCACCAAGTGCCTGAAAAATGCATGCATGAAATTAAATGTGACATTAATTAAAGTGACTATAAATCATAAAACTTGAAAACTGTATATATATATATATATATATGTGTGTGTGTGTGTGACATGTGGAGATCATTCGCATATATCTTCTAGTAAGGTAATTCCAAATTCTAAGATAGCTAAAACAATAACTACTGGCTCAAAATGATCTCTACTAGATTGCATATCACACTATAAAAGGCAGAAAAGAAGGACACTTACACTAGGAGTAGGAAATGATTGAGAAACTGGCTGATGAGAAGCCTGCAAAGAAATCACATCCATTAAGAAGTTGAACACTAAGCTGCATATTGAGATTAATGAACACAATAAACGATAACAATAGGTCAATAACAGAAAGTAAAGAAGATAAGATTTTGACAATGTGCTTACGTTTACAGTATTAGGAGTAGGAAATGATTGAGAAACCGGCTGATGAGAAACAGCCTGCAAAGAAATCACATCCGGTAAGAAGTTGAACACTAAGCTGCATATTGAGATTAACGAGAACAATAAACAATAACAATAGGTCAATAGCAAGTAAAGAAATAAGATTTACTTAGTTCGACAATGTGCTTACGTTTACAGTCCTAGGAGTAGGAAATGATTGAGAAACGGGCTGATGAGAAGCCTGCAAATTAAAGAACTCACATCCGTTAAGAAGTTGAGCACTAAGCTGCACATTGAAATTAACCAGAACAATAAATCATAACAATAACAGATCGAAAGTAAAAAAGATAAGATTTACTTGGTTCGACAATGTGCTTACATTTACAGTAGGAGTAGGAAATGGTTGAAAAACTTGCGGATGAGAAGCCTGCAAAGAAATCACATCCATTAAGAAGTTGAACACTAAGCTGCATATTGAGATTAACTAGAACAATAAAGGATAACAATAGCAGAAAGTAAAGAAGATAAAGATTTACGTGGTTCGGCAATGTGCTTACGATTACAGTGCTAGGAGTAGGAAATGATTGAGAAACTGCCTCATGAGAAGCCTGCAAAGAAATCACATCCATTAAGAAGTTGAACACTAAGCTGGATATTGAGATTAACGAGAATAATAAATCTTAACAATAACAGAAAAGTAAAAAAAATAAGATTTACGTGGTTCAACGATGTGCTTACATTTCTAGTAGTACGAGTAGGAAATGATTGAGAAACTGGCGGATGAGAAGCCTGCATAGAAATCACACCCATTAAGAAGTTGAACACTAAGTTGCATATTGAGATTAACGAGAACAATAAATCATAACAATAACAGAAAGTAAAGAAGATAATTTATGTGGTTAGACAATATGCTTACGATCACGAGAGAGAACCAATTTTTTAATTCATTGTGATGGTGATAGAAAATCTAACATTACAAATAACATATTTATATGTCATCCTAAACATGTAAGGTTACAAATAACATATCTATATCATCCTAAACATGTACATGTACATAATTACCCCTACACACTTATCATTCTCAATACATATAAGATATACACAACACTCCAGTAACCAAATATATATAAAGAGTGAGTCTAATGTGAGACCATCATATATGTGAAAAGGGTCGAGTTATGATAGAAAGTGCCATTTTCCATCCCCCAAATACTAACAAAGACAACAATATATGCAAATATGGGATAACGGTATGAATAGTCCCCACTGTAGATCCGCCCCTGTGAATGGGATACGTACATATATATGTCTACACATACAACAAAGAAAGAGATGTACCGTTTGTAGGCTTGATTCTGGTGTAGCAAACTGTCCTGAACTGGAATCCGTAGTTAGAGGATACAAAATTGGGGAACCAACAGGCAACAATGGAGGATGTTGCAATCCAGCCACTGTTGCAGTCCCACCAGGATTTTGCATTGGCAACAGTGTATATGTGCTAGTTTGAACAATAGATTCAGGCATATATATTGGCACAAAGCCAATTTGAGCCGGTGGCAAAGTTAAATATTGTAGCTCCTGAGAAGAGCAAAAACCAAGATATGAAAGACAATAAGAAAGATGACAGACAAGCATTATTTCATAACAAAATAATGTATTCCATAATTACACCCCTAAAAAAACATTCATAAAAGATCACATGTACTGTGTAAGATTTTGCTGTATACTATATTATAAATATAAAGGCCTTAATTATGTGGTGCAAATTAACTAGACTTATTAAGATCTTTGGTTGAACTGAATGACTATTAGTTATTGGTCTATATAAAGCAGGTTGATGAGATAGACTGGATATACAGTATATAAGTTTATGATACTCTTGCTCTGGATAATCTCAAATATGCCCTTTAAGGTTCGAGTCAAATGTGGGACAAAACATCTAATCTTTTCCTGCAATTCTATAACTCGAGAGGCAATACAACGAAGAAGGCATCAACTATAGCGGAAGATATTTTGATCTCTAATATTACTTCCGCTGTTAGGAGTTTAGGTTAGTTTCTGGTAATAAAGATTTTATACAATTCATATTAGATTATATTTATATCTACTAGTATGAACAACTTATGCAAAAGACTAAACAACTTAATTATATATGGATGACCATATGAAACACTAAACTAAATAATTTTAACATAAAAATACATCTTTTTTATCGTGGTCCATACAACTGTGTGAACCACAGTTCACACAATAATTTGCCTGTGATCTGTGACATGTGGAGATCATTCCCATGCATCTTTCCTCAATGTTTTAGAAGAAGACACGCGTGTGTATCTTCTAGTAAGGTAATCCCAACTTCTAACCTAGCTAAAACAGTAACTACTGGCTCAAAATGATCTCTACTAGATTGCATAGCACACTATAACACGGTTAGTTCCCGGAATGAATTTTGAAAGAATATGAATACTGAATAGGTAATTAAAAGAATAAGAATTGTATTCTATTATTTGGTTCGTTGGAGAAATAGACTTTAGAAATTGTTGTTTGGTTGGGTAAAGGAATAAAAATGGAATAGATTTTTAAAAGACATAAATATCTTTCTACAGAATATATAATAATAATAATGATGATGATGATGATGATGATGATGATGATGATGATGATGATGATGATGATGATGATGATGATGATGATGATGATGATGATGATGATGATTATGATTATTATTATTATTATGATAAGGATATTATTAATATATATATATTGGTATTTGTAATATAAAAGCTATTCTCAAGAGCATGAGAATAGCTAATACGAATGCCCCATAGGAATGATTATTCTCCTTGCAAAGGGAATAGCTCATCCCTTGGAATGTTATTCCTATGACAAAATGACCAAAACAAACAATAGAATAGGTAAATATTCTTAGGAACGCTATTCCAATCCTGACCTATTCCATGAACCAAACATGCCATAAAAGCCAAAAAAGAACAGCACTTACACTAGGAGTAGCAAATGATTGAGAAACTGGCTGAGAAGCCTGCAAAGAAATCACATCCATTAAGAAGTTGAACACTAAGCTGTGTATTGAGATTAGCGAGAACAATAAACCATAACAATAGCATAAAGTAAAATAGATAAGATTTGTGTGGTTTGACAATGTGATTACGTTGACAGGAGAGAATCAATTCATTCTTTTATTAATTGTAATGGTAATAGAAAATCTAAGGTTACAAACAACATATTTATATGCAATCCTAAACATGTACATGTATAAAATTACTCCTGCACACTTATCATCCTCAGTACATATAAGATATGCACAACACTGCAGTAACCGGCCAAATATATATATATATATATATATATATATATATATATATATATATATATATATATATATATATATATATATATATAAAGAGTGAGTCTCATGTGAGACCGTCTTATATGTGAGACGGGCCGAGTTATGATATGATAGAAATAATGTAATACTTATACTAGTAAATGCAATAATAAGGAATAAATTATTTGTTACTTTTTGAGAAAAAAAATGTGATATACTTGTTAATCAAAATATAATATTTAGGTTTGAATAGTAACTTATGAAAAAAATGTAATACTAATCATGGATAAATTGTTTAATTGTTACATATGAAAGAAAGCGTAATACTTATGACAAAAAATATAATACTTTTACAATCAAAATATAATATTAAGAGTTGAAGAATTATATACAGCGATTGAAAAGAAAACTTAAAAAAAGAAAAAAAAAAAAGGAATGCATTTATTGATGAGAGCATGAGATACCATGTATAGCTTGAATTGATGTGCTATAATAAGTAAGATTACTAGTGTACATGCAACATATCAATAGAAAGTGCCATTTTCCATTCCCCAAATACTAACAAAGACAACAATATATAATATATGCATATATATGTACACGCAATAAAGAAAGAGATGTACCATTTGTAGGCTTGATTCTGGTGTAGTTAGAGGATACAAATATGTGGAAGTAACAGGCAACAATGGAGGATGTTGCAATCCAGCCACTATTGCAGTCTCACCAGGATTTTGCATTGTTTGAGCAATAGATCCAACCATATAATTTGGTACAAACCCAATTTGAGCTGGTGGCGAAGTTAAAAATTGTAGTTCCTGAGGAGAGCAAACACCAAGATATGAAATTAAAGACAATAAGAAAGATGACAGACAAGCATTATTTCATAACATAATAATGTATTCCCTAATTACACACCTAAAAAAACATTCATAATAGAACACATGTACTGTGTAAGATTTTGCTCTATAATATATTATAAATATAAAGCCCTTAATTATGTACTGCAAGTTAGCTAGACTTATTAAGAAATTTAGTTGAACTGAATGATTATAAGTTACTGGCTTATCAAACACTATGCCTATATAAAGTATATATTGATAAGATATTGCATTAATAACAGTCCACACACATGGTCCAAAAATGACGTTGTTTTGCGCAATTTTTTTCACGCGACCTGCTGCAATTTACATTTTTATAACTCATAATGTACATTATTTTAGCTCAAAAGTTTCATTATTCTAACACATAATGTTCATTATTATAACACATAGTATACATTATTCTAACTCATAAAATTCAGCAATGTCGTTTTGAACCGTAGTTCACACAGTTATGTGAACCATGATCCACACAATAATTTGCCACACTGAACATATAATATATAGGTTTATTGTACTCTTGCTCAGGATAATCTCGAATGCACCCTTTAAAGTTCCGAGTCAAGTGTAGGGAAAAACGTCTAATCTTTTCTCTGCAATTCTATAACTCGAGAGGCAACACAACTAAGAAGACATATCAACTATAGCAGGAGGTATTTTGATCTCTAATATTACTTCCGAAGTTTAGGTTTCTGGTAATAAAGATTTTATACAATTCATCTTAGATTATATCTATATCTAACAGTATGAACAACATATGCAAAACATTAAACAACTTAATTATATATAGATGACAATATGAAACACCAAACTAAGTAATTATAAACAAGTGAAAGGAATATAATGCTAAAGTGGAGCTCACTATGACTTCACTTCCACGGAAGATCATGAATTCATAGATTTTTTCACTTCCAGAGTAGTCTTGCCCATCCATTCTTCGCCCCTCAGTTCCAAAGCATTTCACTGCAGTTGGTACAAATTATCACAAGGCATAAGTCTTAAGGCACTGTAGAAGGAGTACTGGTGGTAGCAGTCTCTTTGTTTGATAGTAAATAGGAATTGCAATTTAAATAAATATATAATTAATTAAAATTAAAATAAAAATAAAAATATAACAAATATATAACACATATATATACACATACATAAGTTCCGATCCATATTTAATTCATGGACAATAACTTTTTTATTATTTTTTCTTCATTTTTTGTTACATTGTTCAAAAGCAGTGGAAGAAAAGAGTAATGAGTTCATAATAATGAGTATCAAATGTCATAGTATGATACAAAAGTCACCAACCAAACACCACAAATATAATATTCAAACTTCATATTCACATTCACATGCAACTAAACCCTCAATAACCAATCTTGTACATTTTAAAACAAATTAATGGGACAACTTGCAACCCTTTTTAAGTTATGAACCAAATGATATGTAATGCAACATATATATAAAATTATCTAGTCAACATTTACCACAAAAAATTGCACTTCGTGGACATATACTTTGTATACATTGTTAAAATCTTAGCTTCTAAACTACGAAATGAATCAGAATCAAATAAGAAACAAACACATTTTTGATACTCCAATTGTTCTCAAGTTACAAATGTAGTTCCTATATTTTAATTGTTGTAAATCTTGTCTTTCAATTGTGTTTGAATTGTTGTAAATCAAGTCATTGTCTATCAACAACACTAATTATGCTAAATGAATGACAAAGATTTACAAATAGATCAATAATTTAATAACTAGATTTACAACCATTGAAATGTTTGAACAACGTTTGAACACTTGAGGAACTATAACTGTGATTTTCCAATCAAACAACAACGTACGCATACAGAAAAGCAACAAATACTATTTAATTATGCCCAATTCATAAGATCGATCAACATAGCTTGGGAACTTTACTAAAACAACTAAGATAAGCAAAACAAGTAACATATCGGAAATGAAAATTCAAAAAACAAAAAGAAATAATGAATTCTCATCAACAGCATTCAAGAGGCTAGTGTAGAAACCATCGGTGAGGGCAATCAGGAATTCGAGAGAGTCCACACGGGAGACATATCCTTGATATCGTGCTCCAGACCGCGTTAACAAGTTAACGAAACTTCCCCGTCCCGCATCTATGGCAGCCATCGCCGAAGTCGTCACCTCCTCCATTTGCGTTTGAGGTGGCTGGTTTCGTGTTTTTGGCGATCGAGTTTGCACTTATAAAGGCACTTGCAAAATGAAGTTTTAAGTTTCCGTTCACTAGGTATCTGTACTGTCTTATTTGATTGTACAAATAAAATTCGTGATGTTTCTAATTATGTTATTAAATTTTGAATTTTTTTTAAAAAATTGTTGCAATCCATATTCATTATATTGTCTTTATATGTTAAAACTTAAAAAAATAATGTTGTCTGTTTTGGTCATTGGACGTTGGATGACTTACCTTATAAAAAAGAGGTTTAAATTTGCTACTGTAAAAAAAATATTAATTTGGTAGGAGAAATTAATGTATATATATCGTGACTAGTTAATACACGCGCATTGCACGAATTGTCCAATGTACAATGTGTATTTTTAAATTTTACAGTATACCAAATATGGTCCACACAATAATGATTATGGGATTGGAGATTCAACGTTTTGGGAAGAATTAATTATTTTCCCAAACAACGTTATGTGTATTAATTTCTTTTTCTTTCTTTCCTTTTTTGGGTCAAAATCTTTTACAATCTAGCATAATATTACATAATTAACTACTTTTTTTTTTTTTTTTTTTTTTACATGTGGGGTGCGCCAGGCCGAGGCAATAGTGCAACGCTAAGGCGACACTCGAAAGCCCAGACAGAAAGCTATCTTAATAGGCTTTCTCCTAAAAAAATTGAGTTAATATCATGTGGGCTAATAGCCCACGTATCAGATATTAAACTGATAAGAACAGATACTACACTTCATCTTAGCCAAAAGGCCGAGAAAGGTATACATAATTAACTCATTGTCGGGTACTCGGGTATTGCATTCAAAAGTAAAAATCAATAAATATATAATACTTTTAAAATGTTATATTAGTAAGCAAAAAAAAAAAAAAAGTAAAATATTTAATAAACATTTTGGTACAAATAGTTTACATTTTTATCATGTCCAGTTATTCGACATGTGCACGTAAGTAAATTGTATCTTAATTACATTGCCAATTTAATTGATCCCTACATTGAGAAATTTGTTTAACTCCAATTAGCAACTACATACAAAAAGTCTAAATTGGTAGATTTTTCCTTGCATTATCCTTAATTAATTAAGTAGTAAGGTTTACCTCTCTGGTATGGTTTGCAAGCTACTGCACATAAGCGTTGTTTACTAATTCAAATTGTCGAATAATGACTACGGATTTTCTTCGTCATCCAAAAAAAAAAAAAAAAAGATGTATGTAATAGGGGTTTTTTATTGTTGTTTTTTTTTTAATATTAATAGATTTTCTTATATGAGAACTTAGTCAACAAATTTTTGTGATAATTAGTAATTGTAAAGCTATATACTATGTGTAGATAGGGGTGGAAATTGGCCAGGCCGAGCCAGGCTTTAGAAAATTAGGTCTGGGTCTGTTAAGAAAATCTAAAGCCTAGGCCTGGATCTGGGCCTGTATATAGGCTTTTTATTTAGGCTCAAGCCTGAGCCTGCAGTTGGTCTGACTTGCTGAAGTCTTTTTAAAAGTCTATTTAATAAATAGACTTTTAAAAAGGCTTCAAAGTAGGTCCTAAATAGGCTTTGATCCTATAATTCGCTAACCGCTAACCGCTAACTGCTGATTGTCAAACGAGGACATTGTGAGATAGTTCTCACTTCAATTTGTTGTGTGATTTGAATACTCTCTTTGTCAACAAATCTTTCAAGTAGTTAATATGATTGACTTTATTAATTATATTATTTAAATTTTTTCATGGTATTAATCAAATACTTGGTAAATAAAAATATAGCCTTATTTTGTATTATAACTTTGATATTTAATTAAAAATAGCGCAGAAAAAAAAAAGATAATAGACAATGTAGTGAATATAATCAATTGGTGAATTTGAATGTAAAGAATTTTTACATTGGAGAAAAATGAAGACAATATAACTAATGCAATTATTTCTCTTAATTAATTTATTGATAATGAATAATTATTTTTTTTTTCGAATAAAGACATTGTAGGGACAATGTAGCGAATATAATCAATTGATGAATATGAATGTAAAGAATTTTTATATTGGAGAAAAATAGAGACAATATAACTAATGAAATTATTTCTCTTATTTAATTTATTGATAATGAATATTTTTTTTTGAATAAAGACATTGTAGACACATAATTCTAAATTAAAGAAATGCATATGTATTATTTGTAGTTGTAGCTACTAAATTATTATTTAATTTAATAAGAGTAAAACACATTTTTGATACTCCAATTGTTCTCAAGTTACAAATGTAGTTCCTATATTTTAATTGTTGTAAATCTTGTCTTTCAATTGTGTTTGAATTGTTGTAAATCAAGTCATTGTCTTTCAACAACAATAATTATGCTAAATGAATGACAAGATTTACAAATAGATCAATAATTTAATAGCTAGATTTACAACCATTGAAATGTTTGAATAACGTTTGAACACTTGAGGAACTATAACTGTGATTTTCCAATCAAACAACAACGTACACATACAGAAAAGCAACAAATACTATTTAATTTATGCCCAATTCATAAGATCAACATATATAGCTTGGGAACATTACTAAAACAACAAACATAAGCAAAACAATTAACATATCGGTAGCGAAAATTCAAAAAAGAAAAAGAAACAATGTATATATTCTTAGCAACAGCATCCAAGAGTGCAAAAACCATCGGTGAGGGCAATCAGGAATTCGGGAGAGTCCACACGGGAGACATATCCTTGATATCATGCTCCAGACCGCGTTAACAAGTTAACGAAACTTCCCCATCCCGCATCTATGGCAGCCATCGCCGAAGTCGTCACCTCCTCCATTTGCGTTTGAGGTGGCTGGTTTCGTATTTTTTGCGAGTTTGCACTTATAAATGCACTTGCAAAATGAAGTTTTAAGTTTCCGTTCACTAGGTATGTGTACTGTCTTATTTGATTGTACAAATAAAATCTGTGATGTTTCTAATTATGTTATTTAATTTTGAAATTTTTTAAAAAATTGTTGCAATCCATATTCATTATATTGTCTTTATATGTTAAAACTTAAAAAAATAATGTTACGTCTGTTTTGGTCATTGGACAATGGACGACTTACCTTATAAAAAAAAAAAAAAAAAGAGGTTTAAATTTGTTACTCTAAAAAAAAATATTAATTTGGTAGGAGAAATTAATGTATATATATCATGACTAGTTAACACACGCGCATTACACAAATTGTTCAATGTGTAATGTGTATTTTTAAATTTTACAGTATACCAAATATAGTTTACACAATAATGATTATGGGGTTGGAGATTCAACGTTTTGGGAAGAATTAATTATTTTCCCAAACAACGTTATGTGTATTAATTTCTTTTTCTTTCTTTCCTTTTTTGGGTCAAAATCTTTTACAATCTAGCATAATATTACATAATTAACTCATTGTCGGGTACTCGGGTATTGCATATTTGCATTCAAAAGTAATAATCAATAAATATATAATACTTTTAAAATGTTATATTAGTAAGTAAAAAATAAATAAATAAAATATTTAATAAACATTTTGGTACAAATAGTTTACATTTTTATCATGTCCAGATTCGACATGTGCACGTAAGTAAATTGTATCTTAATTACATTGCCAATTTAATCGATCCCTACATTGAGAAAATTTGTTTAACTCCAAATAGCAACTACATACAAAAAGTCTAAATTGATAGATTTGTCTTGCATTATCCTTAATTAATTAAGTAGTAAGGTTTACTTCTCTGGTATGGTTTGCAAGTTACTGCACATAATTGTTATTTACTAATTCAAATTGTCGAGTAATGACTATGGATTTTCGTCGTCATTCAACAAAAAAAAAAAAAAAAAAAAAAAAGGATGTATGTAATATGGGTTTTTTTATTGTTGTTGTTGTTTTTTTTTAATATTAATAGATTTTCTTATATGAGAACTTAGTCAACAAATTTTTGTGATGATTAGTAATTGTAAAGCTATATACTATGTGTAGATAGGGGTGGAAATTGGCCAGGCCGAGCTAGGCTTTAGAAAATTAGGTCTGGGCCTATTAAGAAAATCTAAAGCCTAGGCCTGGATCTGGGCCTGTATGTAGGCTTTTTATTTAGGCTCAAGCCTGAGCCTTCAGTTGGTCTGACTTGGCCTGAAGTCTTTTTAAAAGTCTATTTAATAAATAGGCTTTTAAAAAGGCTTCAAACTAGGTCCTAAATATGCTTTTAGCCTATAATCCGCTAACGCTAACCGCTAATTGCTGATCGTCAAATAAGGACATTGCGAGGTAGTTCTCACTTCAATTTGTTGTGTGATTTGAATACTCTCTTTGTCAACAAATCCCTCTAGTAGTTAATATGATTGGCTTTATTAATTATATTTTTTCATGGTATTAATAAAATACTTAGTAAATAAAAATATAGTATTATTTTGTATTATAACTTTGATATTTAATTAAAAATAGTGTAGAAAAAAAAAAGATAATAGACAATGTAGTGAATATAATTAATTGGTGAATTTGAATGTAAAGAATTTTTACATTAGAGAAAAATGAAGACAATATAACTAATGAAATTATTTCTCTTAATTAATTTATTGATAATGAATAATTTTTTTTTTCGAATAAAGACATTGTAGTGATAATGTAGCGAATATAATCAATTGATGAATATGAATGTAAATTATTTTTCTTATTTAATTTATTTATATATAATGAATAATTTTTTTTGAATAAAGACATTGTAGACACATAATTCTAAATTAAAGAAATGCATATGTATTATTTGTAGTTGTAGCTACTAAATTATTATTTAATTTAATAAGAGTAAAACACATTTTTGATACTCCAATTGTTCTCAAGTTACAAATGTAGTTCCTATATTTTAATTGTTGTAAATCTTGTCTTTCAATTGTGTTTGAATTGTTGTAAATCAAGTCATTGTCTTTCAACAACAATAATTATGCTAAATGAATGACAAGATTTACAAATAGATCAATAATTTAATAGCTAGATTTACAACCATTGAAATGTTTGAATAACGTTTGAACACTTGAGGAACTATAACTGTGATTTTCCAATCAAACAACAACGTACACATACAGAAAAGCAACAAATACTATTTAATTTATGCCCAATTCATAAGATCAACATATATAGCTTGGGAACATTACTAAAACAACAAACATAAGCAAAACAATTAACATATCGGTAGCGAAAATTCAAAAAAGAAAAAGAAACAATGTATATTTTTAGCAACAGCATTCAAGAGTGCAAAAACCATCGGTGAGGGCAATCAGGAATTCGGGAGAGTCCACACGGGAGACATATCCTTGATATCGTGCTCCAGACTGCGTTAACAAGTTAACGAAACTTGCTCATCCTGCATCTATGGCAGCCATCGCCGAAGTCGTCACCTCCTCCATTTGCGTTTGAGGTGGCTGGTTTCGTATTTTTTGCTAGTTTGCACTTATAAATGCACTTGCAAAATGAAGTTTTAAGTTTCCGTTCACTAGGTATGTGTACTGTCTTATTTGATTGTACAAATAAAATCTGTGATGTTTCTAATTATGTTATTTAATTTTGAAATTTTTTAAAAAATTGTTGCAATCCATATTCATTATATTGTCTTTATATGTTAAAACTTAAAAAAATAATGTTACGTCTGTTTTGGTCATTGGACAATGGACGACTTACCTTATAAAAAAAAAAAAAAGAGGTTTAAATTTGTTACTCTAAAAAAAATATTAATTTGGTAGGAGAAATTAATGTATATATATCGTGACTAGTTAACACACGCGCATTGCACGAATTGTCCAATGTGCAATGTGTATTTTTAAATTTGTGACTATTTCAATTGGTTTGTTAGCCCACCAAGAGACATCCAAAGATTTCTACGTGAAGATGAGCTTGGCCTCTTTGGCGAGACTTTTATTGTGAGGGTTGCATAACGGCCCTTGGGTATACCCCTCCTTTTTCATAAAAAAAAAAAAAAAATTTATCAAAGTATCACTCATTATCTTGTCGTATATCAATGTAAGATTATCAAATTTTTCATAAAAATAAATAGACATGACATAATTTTTCATAAAATTAGTTTTAGAGGAAACACCCTCATTGGATAGTATCCAAGCATAATTTTTCCAAGACAAAACCCTATTAATTGACCTAATCCATGCTTCCTCTTGTTGTCACCTCCGTCATAATTAAATTATTGATTTAATCTAGTCACTTGGTGTGCTCAATGCAATTTTAGTGCTTTGGCGCACTGCACCTTCAAAAACATAACCAAATCCTCCTTCCCCAAAAAAAGACAATGATAATATGCATAGTTTCTCATCTATGTTGAATATATACTTTAAATTAGGTGTACTGCTTTATCAATGCCCAATGCGTGATTCAAATTAATTGACCAAAGTTAATGTTAAATTTCATATTGTATTTTTAATACACTCTAAAATATTCATAGTATATATTTAACAACTATGTCAATTTTGATTGGGATGAAGTTCGAACCTAAGACCTTATGAAAATCAATAATTAAGTTAAGAATAATAAATAGTTAACAGAATATTTCGTTGCTAAAGTTTACACTGACGGAATGCAAGGATATTTAAGAAAAGTAAATGATATAATAGAGAGTAAAGTAGGAAAAATAATAAAAAATTACTAAAATCAAAATAATATGAACCATTTATTTCAACAAACAATTACACCATTATTTTTTTTTGTTCCTGTTAGGGGCTTAACTTTATTGGTTCTTATTAGGTTTGCAGAAATACATTATAAAGTTAAGGATGGTTCGTGTAAAGTTGAGTTACCTTGATTTACATCCTCCCAGATACTCTGTCAGGCCGGAATGTGGGGTGGCCCTTGGGGTTGGGGCAAATTATTGTGTGGACCATGATATATGGACCATAATAAAATGTATATTTTTAATATACTAAATGTACATTATTTGTGTACGGAATGTACATTATATAATATAATGGACATTCAGTACACAAATAATGTACATTTCCTGAATACAAAATGTACATTTTTAATATACTAAAAGTACATTAGTTTTATACTGAATGTACATTATTTTACAGTATACAAAATATGGTTCACAGAATAATGATTATAGGATTAGAGATTCAACATTTTGGGAAGAATTAATTATTTTCCCAAACAACGTTATGTGTGTTATAAATATTATTATTATTATGGCCATTATCACAAGACCTTTCATTTGCCTTATATTTATTCCATTATTTATGTTATAGAAAATGAAGGATTATATATATATATATATATATATATATATATATATATATATACATGTTCAAGGCATAATGAAAGATAGAACTTGTGTTCTTGAGTTCTACATTCTTGTGTTATATTTTTCTCTCTACTCTTCCATTCCATATTGCAATATTCTTCATACATACAATCGATGCGTTACCGTACAACTATCACGCGAGAACTGACAAGTTGATAGGCCGAATTACAACAATGTGTATTAATTTCTTTTTCTTTCCTTCCTTTTTTTGGGTCAAATCTTTTACAATCTCGAATAATATTTACATAATTAACTCATTGTCGGGTACTCGGGTATTGCATTCAAAAGTAATATTCAATAAATATATAATACTTTTAAAATGTTATATTAGTAAGTTTAAAAAAAAAAGAGTAAAATATTTAATAAATACTTTGGTACAAATAGTTTACATTTTTATCATGTCCAGTTATTCGACATGTGCACGTAAGTAAATTCTATCTTAATTACATTGCCAATTTAATCGATCTCTATATTGAGAAATTTGTTTAACTCCAAATAGCAACTACAAAAAGTCTAAATCGATAGATTTTTCCTTGCATTATCCTTAATTAATTAAGGGAATAAAGGTCAAATAGGCCATTGAACTACACACTAAAATACAATTAGGCCATCCAACTCAAAAAAGTAACAATTAGGTCCCTGAACATGATAAATTAAAGCAATTGAACCCAAAGTGACTTGTTGACCAGGTAATTAGATGACATGGCGGTTACCAAATTTTATTTTAAAAAAAAATATTTTAATAATTTTTAAATAAAAAACTTCAAAAAAAATATATATATATATATAGCTTGCTCGAGTCAACGGTAGAAATTTTCGTCGATGATGGTTTTCTCCTTAATCTCCGGCGAAGAAGTGGAATCGAGTAGGATGACGAGCAGCGGAACGACTCCTTTCGACACAGCGATCAACACGCTCTTATCGTCTTCCTTCAAGAGTCCGAGGAGTGAGTCGAGCACCGTGTTCTTCGACTCAGTGGTCCCGATCTGGAGCCGAGTGATCAGAATCGTCGTCTCCGCCCTAATCGTCTCCCTCTTTGAATAACTACTCGACAAAACGACGCCGTTTTCGCAGAGAACACCGCTCTTGATAAGAACCTCGAGGTCCCTGTTAAGGCTATCAATTTTTGCAGGCAAGGAGTCGATCTCGTTCTGCGTCTTGAGCTTCCCGTCGGGAGGGTTGGGGTTGTGGCAGCGAACTGAAGAGACATCCCGTCGGAAATGGCGGCGGAGAGTGACCGGAGAAAGTCCGCCGAGAGAGGGTTGTCATTCGCGGCGGACAGAGAGGTGAGTCTGAAGAGCTGAGAGCTTTGTTCTGATCAAAGACCATTTTCCCATCAAGCTTTGGGTTTGAGTAATGGAATCAAGGAGGGACAGTAGTCACAGTACTACTTTAGTGCTTGAAAGAATTCTAAATGGTCTTCGTGACTCTTCGGAGACGAAAACAGGTCCACGAAGGAGGGGAAGGGGTGGCCAGAGATTTTTTCTTTCTTTCTTTAAATTTAAAATAATTAAAATATCTTTTTCAAAAAATTAACTTGTTTACCGCCATGTCATCTAATTATCAGGTCAACAGGTCACTTTGGGTTCAATTGTTTTAATTTGCCCTGTTCAAGGACCTAATTGTAGCTTTTTTGAGTTGGATGGCCTAATTGTATTTTAGTGTGTAGTTCAATGGCCTGTTTGACCCTTATTCCTTAATTAAGTAGTAAGGTTTACCTCTCTGGTATTATTTGCAGGCTACTGCACATAATCGTTGTTTACTAATTCAAAGTCTCGAGTCAGTGACGGACCCAGAAAAATAGTTGAGTGGGGGCAAAGTTTAAATAATAAAAAATGTCTATAAATTTATAACAAAATATTAAGTATCAAGAGCTTCTGCGAAACATTAAACAAAAGGGATAACTTTAAAAAAAAAAAAAAACACTTAAGAAGTTAGCCATAAATATTGTTAGATATGAGCAAAAAATAAAACACATCAAAACTTTATAAAAATACTTATAACAAAATATGAAACATAATTAATTTGATAAAATAATTCTAATAGAAAACACATTAGAAATTACACATCTCATTATTAATATAAAAGTGTATATATATATATATATATATATATATATATATATATATATATATATATATATATATAGATGTGTATTCAAATGAGGACAAGTATATTATAGAGGACTGTGAGGACAAATGTAGTGTGCCATTAGTCGATATGTTGTGTGTATGGCCGAATGTAGTCGTGTGCCACAGTTTGTATGTCGTGTGCTAGATTTGTTAATTTATAGAGCCTGGGTTCGAAACCTGATGTTTACATTTATTCTTGTGTGCCATTATGTATTAAGTTGTGTGCCTGGTATTAATTTGTTCTGTGCCCATTATTTGTCCTCACAGTCCTCTATATATTGTTGTCCTCATTTGAACTCAACCCATATATATATAGTCACGGTTTTAGTATAAGTAAAAGAAAACAGCAAAAGTTGACTCAGTTGAGATGGTAAACCATGTGTTTGCCCTTAATTAATTTGATAAAATAATTCTAATAGTTCCTAATAGTCACGGTTTTATTAACATGTTTGACGTTATTGGTAGAATCGTTGAGATATACTCCCCATTGGATAAGATCATTGCAGGGAAGCCTTAACTTATTGATTTTTAATTGTACGTGGATACAAAGTAAATTATCTAATTTTGTTATTTTTATTGTATTTTGTATATGTATTTTTTATTAAGTACTCCGTAGTTTATTTGTTTATAGGGACAATCAATTGAAAGCTACAGTGTGGGATCAACATATACCAAGGCCAAGAGTTGAAACTTTTTTTTTTTTTTTTTAATTCTGGCCTTGCAAATCCTATGGTTGGTCTTGTGCAATTGTGTAGAGTTAAAAATGATACGAAGAGTTAATCTAAACAAAGTGTTTTAATTTTTCTTTATATTTGAAAGTGTTTGAATAATGACAAGTAATGAATGTTCTTTTTGATTAGCCAGTTATGTCACGATATGTAACAATGAAAAAAAATCAAAATCAAAATCCTATTTACTTGATTTCTTGTCCAAACAATAGTAAATAGTAAAGGTAAATTAAAAAAAGAATGAAAAAAGGAACATAAATATTTCACAATAATATTCTACATGAGAAAATTTCAATTTTGGTCCATTGACTATTAGTGGTGTGTTAATTGCAGCACTTGACTATTAAAACTGTTAATGTAGTACCTTGACTATGCAATTTTTATCAATTTTGGTCACGCCGGCCAAATTAATGGCGAATTTCCACCGGAAAAATGTTAGTCAAACATTTCTCCGATTTGGCAGGGGCAAATAAGACATTTCATGTTGCTAATATGGTTGGTCTGTCCGGGTTGTTGACCATGAAGCTACCCGACCCGAATTAATTGGAATATAACCGCTCAACATCAATTGACTTCACATAAATTAACTGAACCAAAAAAAAAAAAAAAATTAGGAACTAAGAATTCACCAGTCAAAACAATACCTTTAACATCGTTTCTCCTGGCAGCCTCCGTGAACTTCTCCTTGAAGCCATGAATTACTACAACACAATCAAATTTCACAGTTTAGTTTCATCTATCCAAATCCAGCGCATACGCACACTCGCCAGCAACGGAGCGACGATGGTCGAGACCTGCTACGGGTGGCGACCAAAAGCGAGATTTTCTTCTTTACACGGTCGTCGGTCGAGTCCGGCTAACGGAGATTGAAACCGGAAAAATTAAACTACGGTAGGTAGGTAAAATTTTAATAGTTTTGAAAATAAATCAAAATTATGCTAAGGCTGAAAGGCATAATCAAAATTAACTATTGTAGAATCATCATGATGTTCTTCAATGGCACGAGCTTCAGATTTAATTTCAATTCAGCAAGGGTCAGATTACCGGAAAGGCCTAAGCATCTTCAATTCAGCAATGGTAAGTCTGTCATTCCATCTCCATCAACAAAGTAACATCTCAAGTGGTTAATTATTAGCTTCAGATTTAATTTCCCCAATAATATAATATATATAATGTTACTTACTCATTTGCAGGAAGCTAGACGAAGGAGATATATAAGACTCTGTATGTTCTTCCACCAGATCAGATAGAAGAACACCAACGTGATTGGTCTTCAGATCTGAATAAGGCAGTCGGCGATGACGGTGACAAAACGGAAAATTTTATAGTTAATCAAAGCATAGGAGAGGAGTAAAAAGCAGATCAGAGCTGCCTAGACAGATCGTTTTGAATTGGGGTCGGGTAGCTTCATGGTCAACAACCCGGACAGACCAACCATATTAGCAACGTGAAATGTCTTATTTGTCCCTGCCAAATCGGAGAAATGTTTGACTAACATTTTTTCGGTGGAAATTCGCCATTAATTTGGCCGGCGTGACCAAAATTGATAGAAATTGCATAGTCAAGGTACTACATTAACAGTTTTAATAGTCAAGTGCTGCAATTAACACACCACTAATAGTCAATGGACCAAAATTGAAATTTTCTCTATTCTACATCATCAATTAAAATGAATATTAATAATTTACTGAAAATTAAAAATGAAAAAAAAATGAATTGAAGTTAGGTTAATTGGAAAAGGAAATGAATATTAATAATTGACTGAAAATAAAAATGATCCATAATTGACTAAAATGGAAAAGGAAATGGCCAGATCATTGCATTTTAATTTTTCACAATAATATTATACAATAAAATACATCAAATCATAATTATGTCATAAATATTTCACAATTTTAAAATGAAAATTAAAAATAGAACGAAAATATTTTAATAATAATATTCTACATCATCAAGTAAAAGTAAATTAAAAATGAAAAGAAAATATTTAAATAATAATATTCTACATAATCAATAGTAAATGCATATTTTAAACAATAGTAAAGGTAAATTAAAAATGAAACAAAAATTAAAAATGAAACCGAAATATTTCAATAATAATATTCTACATCATCAATTAAAAATGAAACGAAAATTAGGTAAAAATATCACTGCATCTGATATTCTAATTGACTAATTGAATGAAAAAAAATAATTGGCTGAAAATGAATATGGCATTACAAATGGACTGAAAATATAAAAAGAAATGAATATTATAAGTTGACTGCAAATAAAAAATGATCCATAATTGATTAATATGAAAAAAAGAAATGGTTTGATCATTGCATTTTAATTAAAAATGGAACGGAAACTAAAATTTGACGAAAATATTTCAATAATAATTCTACATCATAAATAGTAAATGCATATTTTAAATAATATTAAAGATAAAATTAAAAATGGAACGTGAATATTTCAATAATAATATTATACATCATCAATTAAAAATTGAACGAAAATTAGGTAAAAATATCACTACATATGATATTCTAATTGACTAATTGACTAAAAATATATAAGAATAATTTGCTGAAAATGAATTTGATATTACTAATTGACTTAAAATATAAAAGGATCGCTAATTGACTAATACTCTACCATTATATATTTTCACCCGAGTCACCTATCCTGATGGACTGAAGGTGTTAGCTCTATACGATGATGGACAGGATTGCGTTGCTACAACCAATGTCATATACAAACAGATTTCAATAATGTGTAAATACAATCGTTGATATTATGTTTTTTTTTTAATGGCAAAATTGCTATATATCTAGACAAATATATATATATATATATATATATATATATATATATATATATATATATATATATTCCATACAAATGAATTAAGATAGCAATTCATTCCTATAACTGAGTTGCTAGAGAACGAACATATTTGCCTAATTTATATAAAAAATACTAAACAATAATAAATAAAATCTCCAAAGTTACAACATCGCATGCATACATCTACACATTAACGTTTAATTTGAGCAATTATTTGCTCAAATTCAAACAATGATAACATCAAAACACATAAATAATCCAAAACATATCTTCAATTGCACTGTATAATATTTAATGTTCTAATTTAAATAATTATATATCAATCCAAATATTTTTAATATATTATAACAAATCCATCCCGTGCATCGCACGGGCGAAAATACTAGTTCTTTAAAAAAAATTCATGTTTTGAATGTACAGAATTGTATAATAGAATACACATAATTTTATACCTGAAAACACATAATTTTATAACTGAATACACATAATCGTTTTTGAAAGGATAATACACATAATCTAACATAATACATAATATACATAAACTCTTAACATAATATACATAAACTCTTAACTCTTTAAAAAAAAAATCATGTTTTGAATGTGCAGAATTATATAATAGAATGTACAGAATTTTATACCTGAAAACAAAGAATTTTATACCTGGAAAAACAGAATTTTATAACTAAAAATTCTCATGTTTTGAATGTACAGAATTATGTAACAGAATGCACAGAATTTTATACCTGAAATTAACAAAACGATGTCGTTTTGAGAGGCGCGGGACTCACGTTGCTATGTGCGCCCTGGTGCACGGTATAACGATTGATTAAAAATAATCAATATATTAAATTACAATCAACCAATAATCATAAATGACAAAACCAAGTTCATATTTTATAATAAAATTTCCAACAACACAAGTTTAATAAGTAGAAGTTATTTTCAAAAAAAAAAAAAAGTAGAAGTTCAATACAAAATTCAACCACACGAATTTGATAACTACAAGTCTACAAGTCCATAATACAAAAGTCCATCACAAGTTTAATAACAACAAAAACCATAAACCCACAATACAAACATACAAACACAATAACAGCAATGTAATCATAATAATATTCAAACATAAAATGAAACAAGTCATGGCTTCAACATAAATTTTATGTTTGAATACTATTATCTTTACATTGTTGTTATTATGTTTGTATGTTTGTATTGTGGGTTTATGGTTTCTATTGTTATTAAACTTGTGATGGACTTTTGTATTATGGACTTGTAGACTTGTAGTTATCAAATTTGTATGGTTGAATTTTGTATTATGAACTTCTACTTATTAAATTTGTGTTATTGGAAATTTTAGAGAAAATTTCAATTTTGGTCCACTGACTATCGGGGTTTTTTTAATTGCAACACTTGACTTTCAAAAATATTAATTTAGTACCTTGACTATGCAATTTCTATCAATTTTGGTTACACCGGTCAAATTGCCGGCCAAATCTCACTGGAAAAATTTAATAGGTCAATTTATGAGGGTATTTTAGTAATTTTACTCCTCTTTTTTCTTCTCCAATGATATTCCCAATTTCCGGTGATTTCCGGCGATGACTTCTTTCTTCGCCGATCAAGAAAACGCAGCCCAGAGTCCAATTCTTGCCGCTCAGACTTTGATTTCCCTTGAATTTATAAGGATTCAAAATTGTGGGTAAGAAGAGGAAACAGTAGAGGAAACACTTGAAAGAAAAAATCAATTGATTAATATCTAATGACCCTATAACATCAAATCATTCATCCCAGAAGCAAATTAGGCAATATTTCAAGCAACATTAATCCATTTCTTATCGTACAGAATCAAAGCATTTAGAATAAAGTTCAAAGGAATGGATAAAAAGCTTAAGATTCACCTCCATTTGGTGCATATACTCATAAATCTCAGAAACATAGGTGGCGCACATCTGTGGGTCTTCAGATTTCGCATCAATATCGATTCCAGTATCCTCATGTTTCCCCTTCTCCGTCACCCCTTCATGTTTCCTCTTCTTACCCACAATTTTGAATCCTTATAAATTCAAGGGAAATCAAAGTCTGAGCGGCAAGAATTGGACTCTAGGATGCGTTTTCTTGATCGGCGAAGAAAGAAGTCATCACCGGAAATTACCGGAAATTGGGAATATCATTGGAGAAGAAAAAAGAGGAGTAAATTACTAAAATACCCTCATAAATTGACCTATTAAATTTTTTCGGTGAGATTTGGCCGGCACTTTGGCCGGCGTGACCAAAATTGATAGAAATTGCATAGTCAAGGTACTAAATTAACATTTTTGAAAGTCAAGTGTTGAAATTAATACAACCTCAATAGTCAGTGGACCAAAATTGAAATTTTCTCAAAATTTTATTATAAAATATGAACTTGATTTTGTCATTAATGATTATTGATTAATTGTAATTTAGTAATATGATTATTTTTTACAGGTATATATTAAAAGGCTTTAAAATGAATATAGGCTTAAATAGGCTTTGAGCCTATTTAAATATGTTCAAAGTCTATTTAGGACCTACTTTGAAACCTTTTTAAAACCCTATTTATTAAATAGGCTTTTAAAGAGGCTTCAGGCCAGGCCATGCCAACTCCAAGCTCAGGGTTGAGCCTAAAAAAAAAAAAAAACCTACATATAGGCTCAGGCCCAGGCCTAGGCTTTAGATTTTCCTAACAGGTCCATGCCTAATTTTCTAAAGTCTGGCTCGGATTGGCCTATTTCCATCCCTATAGACGGTGGAGGCCGGGATGGAGGATTGTAGAATGTCAGTTGGATCGGGTCATAGATCTGGGTCGAAATAGCAATTGTTATGCCATGGACCCAGGTTCAAAACGACGCCGTCTGAATTAATTTTTTTTAAAAAAATTGCTTACTTGTGTTAACGTGCCGTTTGTCTTCAGAATTCGTTCCTCTATATTCATAATTTTTGAACTTTATGTTCACAATTTTAGATCTCTACACGGACAATTTTAGAACTGAATATTTACAAATTTAGATCTCAATATACAAAATTAGAGAACTCAATATTCACAATTTTTGAACTCTATATTCACAATTATATAACTCTATATTCAACAGTATAACACAATTTTGAATCTATATTCACAATTTTTTAACTCTATATTCAAAAAAAAAAAAAAAAACATTGACTAAAGAAAGGGAACCACTAACGGCACCCGTTATTCCAGACGCGCATTTTGGACCTGGGTCCACCTTATCCACAACATAATTTGCTCCTGAATAGGGGCTGGGCTGGATGACTTGGGCTTGGGGTGTAATGGGCTGGCTGAAGGAGATGGGCCTAGAACTGGGTCAGAAGGGATGGGTAATGGATATGGGTCTAGAGGTAGGGGAGAGGAGGTGGGCAAATTATGGTGTGAAACTGGAATCGTGCCCACTTTACACATTTCCAAAATTGTCATAATTGTGAATATAGAGTTCAAAAATTATGAACATAAAGTTTTATAATTATGAACATAGAGTTCCGTAATTGTGAATATAGATTTCAATAATTGTAAATATAAAGTTCAAAA